CTCTTAGATTGTAGGTGAACTATACACCCCAGTACCTACAACTACAAGGAAGATCGATGCTTTTGAGCTGTGGTGTTGGAGGAAAGTTCTGAGAGTGCCTTGGACTGCGAGAAGATCCAACCAGTCCATCCTCCAGGAAATAAAGCCCGACTGCTCACTGGAGGGAAAGATACTAGAGACAAAGTTGAAGTACTTTGGCCACATCATGAGGAGACAGGAAAGCCTAGAGAAGACAATTATGCTGGGGAAAGTGGAAGGCAAAAGGAAGAGGGGCCGACCAAGGGCAAGATGGATGGATGGCATCCTTGAAGTGACTGGACTGACCTTGAAGGAGCTGGGGGTGGTAACGGCCGACAGGGAGCTCTGGCGTGGGCTGGTCCATGAGGTCACGAAGAGTCGGAGACGACTGAACGAATGAACAACAACAACCTACAACTCTTATAAATCATGGTGAGTTCTCCTCAAACCTCTCTAATATGTTCAGTTGCTGATCATTCCCTCTTTTTGCTGTGTGTCATTGAAAAGAATAGAAAAGAATAGGAAAGGATTAAGGGAGAGGCAGTGGAGGGGGTCATGCAAATTCCACACCAATGGAGAGAGTAAGAAACACTGGGACATCTGTGGTGGAGGAAACACATACAATCTGGGATGAAATTGTCCTGTATGAAAGCCTTCACTTGGATGGTGGGCAGTATGGTGTTTGTGGAGGACATTAGCAGGGCTCTTGTACATGTTCATGGTGCTCATTATAACCTGAAATGTCATTGGAGGGAGGGACATTGGTGTCTCCTGAGTAGTGGGAGTTATAACTATTTGTGGAAGTGGGAGCATGTCTGTGTAAGTGGACACCCTAGCCACACAAACACATAAATATTTTAACTTTTATTATGTGTTTAGAAGATTTCTTTTTTCTTTTATCATTTTGCTGCAATTACGCAATAGCAGCCAAAGTAAATTACATACAGATTATTTGGGGCGGGGGGGGGGGGGYGGGGGAGMCAGTTTCCAACTTTCCTACCAATGATGAACTTATATTGTCAGGATCACTGTATCAGCCTGGGACTGGCTGCTTGGTTTTCTGGTATAAAGAAGGGAAGTGGGGGGAAGGCAGTGTAGATAAGACATCTGTTTTGTGAGGGAAATCGAAACTGCAGTTAACAGACTGTGGGCACAGTGCTTAGCCACTAGGGGGCAGATGGGAGGTTGGGGCTGATATAGACAAGAGGTTTGAGTGGGAAAACTTTAGAACTGTCTTTTTAGGATTGTGGAAAGAAGGAATAAACCATTTGTTGACAGCGTTTTATTGTTGGGAGCTTGATTTTAACTCCAAGATCTTCCAGAGTCTGACATATATTCATAATATTTCATATTTCAAATGTTTACTCTGAACTGTTGTGCTGGCGGAAAATTCTGGACCGCAAAGAAGATCAAACCAGTCCATACTCCAGAAAATAAAGCCTGACTGCTCAATGGAAGGAAGGATATAGAGGCAAAGATGAAATACTTTGGCCACATAATGAGAAGACAGGAAAGCTTGGAGAAAATAATGATGCTGGGGAAAATAAAAGGAAAAAAGGAAGAGGGGCGGACCAAGGGCAAGATGGATGGTGGCATCCTTGAAGTGGCTAGCTTGACTTTGAAGGAGCTGGGGGTGGCCACGGCTAACAGGGAGCTCTGGCATGGGCTGGTTGAAGAGTTGGAAGCAACTGAATGAATAAAGAACAACAACTCTGAACTACTAATGCTGAAATCCCGCAGTTAGGGGCTGGGCTTAGCACAGCAGGCGACACCGCAGTGTTGCAGAAAATCCAGCTGATCGAAAGGTCAGCAGTCCGAGCCCGGGTTGGCATGAGCACCCGCTGTTAGCCCCAGCTAGCAGGCCGAAAGCAGAAATGTGATTAGATACAATAGGTAGCTATTTTAGCAGGGAGGTAATAAAGGCATCCTTAAAGACATTGGTTGGAGAAAAGCTCCTCGGCATGAAGATAGAGCGACAGCACCCCACCCCCTCCGGTGGCCGGAGTCAAGCGCAGCCTCCAAGATGCCAGAAATAAAATGGAAAATACTGCCTTTACCTGTTTGTGTTGTCTGTCCTTGTATAATTGACATTGAATGTTTGTCATATGTGTGTTCTGTAAGCTGCTCTGAGTTCTCTTTGGGGTGAGAAGGGTGGGGTATAAAGAATTTAAATAAATAAATAAAATAAAATAGTTGACTTATTAGTTGGGCATCTGATAATTTTTTAATGATGAAAGGCTTTTAAATGGGGGACACATTTTTATCTTTAAAAAAACTTAAATCATTCTTTACCCAAAAGAAGGTCAGGATATCATTTCAATGTATAAATAAATGAATGCAACCCCACAAAAATACAATATAAACACAATCTAGCACATCAAGGGGAAAGATTCTTGCACAGCCTTTTGTATGCTATCTAGTTTTTTTTCCTACAGAGAGGATTTTTTATTTATAGACATAAAGAAACATTCAAAACATTGATTCCCTCCTGCTGTCTGAAGAGCTGCTGCGGTCTCGTCTGCTTCCTCCGGAGTCTCTTCATTTCATCCCACTTCGTGCTTTGACTAGGATTCAGACCAAACGAAGAGGCCAGATCCTTGCTTTGACTGCTGTTCTTTGGAGCCCAGTCATTCCTGGAGATGTTTCATTCAAGGAAAGGGGAGACCAGGACCTTTGCGACCTTACAAGATATATTAAGGACATGGCACAGGAAGGGTGTGCTGCAAAGCAGGGGGACAAAAGAGGCAAAGGAAGGCTGTGATGTATACATTCATCCATTTTTGCCTTTTCTCTATGACAAGGGAACCTAATTCTTGCTGATTTATGGGGCATACAGATACACAATGCAGGCAGTGGGAAGCAGTTATTAGGGTGGAGGATGGATAAGAGTGTTTCTCCATTTTAAAATTAGTTTTTCCCTTTACACTATCCTCCTAGCAACAAGTATTTGGAGAGCAAGGATAGAGGGCTGATATTTAGAGAGTGTGGATGTGATACCAAGCCAAGGGAGAGCTTGGTAGATGCAGGGGATGCTGTGGATGGAGCATATCTTGATTTCAGCAAGGCCTTCGGCAAAGTCCCTCATGACCTTCGTGCAAGCAAACTACTCCAATGAGGGCCAGACAATGCTATTATTAGGTGAATTTGGAATGAGTTAAGCAGCCGAATCCAAAGGGTGCTTCTCCCCAATGGTTCATCCTGGGAAAAAAGTGACTATTTGGTTGTCATAAAGAAGGTTTGGTCCTGGGCCCAGTTCTGTTCAACACCTTTATTAATGATTTGGATGAAGGTTTAGAGGGCAGGCTGATTAAGTTTGAAGATGTGACCCAACTGGGAGGGAGAGCTAATATTCCAGAGGACAGGATCAGGATCCAAAATTAACAGATGAGCGAGCTGATTGGTCAAAACTAACACAATGAATTTCAACAAGGACAAATGTAAGGTACTCCACTTAGGCAGAGAAAATGAAATGCAAAGATATACAGAATGGGTGATGCCTGGCTTCATAACCGTCCATGTGAAAGAGATCTTGGAGTCTTTGTGGAAAACAAACTGAACATGAGCCAACAGTGTGATGCAGCAGCTAAAAAGCCAATGAGGTTTAGGGCTGCATCAAAAGGAGTCCAGTGTCCAGATCAAGGGAAGAATTCATGGCGCGTCTCTATCCTACTTTGGTCAGACCTCTTCACCTGGAATCACTCTGTGTTCAATTCTGGGCCTCACGGTTTAAAAGAGATATTGACTCTAAGCTAGAAGGTATCCAGAGGAAGAGAGTGACTAAAAGGATAAAAGGCATGGAGACCATGAATAAACCCTCTGAGGAGCTTCTTAAGGAACTGGGTCTGTTTAGCCTCAGAAGAGAAGGTTGAGAAGAGACATGAGAGCCATGTATCAATGTGTAAAAGGGTGTCATAAGGAAGAGGGAGCAGGTTTGTTTTCTGCCACCCTGGAAAATAGGAGCAATGGATTCAAATAACAGGAAAGGAGATCCCACCTTTTTGACAATATAAGCTATTCAACAGTGGAACTCTCTGCCTCAGAGTCTGGTGGAAGCTCCTTCCTTGGAAACTTTTGAAAAGAGGCTGGATGGCCATCTGTTAGGGAAACTTTGATTGTGCCTTTCCTGCATGGCAGGGGGTTGTACTAGATGGCCTATGTGGTCTCTTCCAACTGTTATTTTATGATTCTATGAGAGAGATACAGAATAGGCAAAAATGCTATCAGCATATGCTAAAAATGCAAAGTGTTAGTTGCCTCTAAATTGTACCCCACCTCCAATAGTCTGCATCCTGTGCTTAACGCCAGGCCAGTAAATGGGAAAATATCCTTGATCCAGGACCTGATTTAGGATCTGAGATGCTGGCTAGGATTGTATCATGGAGGAGCAGATTTCGAATCCCGGCTCAGCCATGGAAACCCGTTGGGTGACCTTGGGGAAGCATCTCATGCTCTCAGCCTCAGAAGATGGCAACCCAATTGAACGAGTTGCCATGAACACCCCATGATCGGTTCGCCATAGGGGGCCCCCATAAATGGCAAGCCACTTGAAGGTACCCAACAACAGTAATGTAACATTGGGTGCAGGGAAAAAGAAAAAGTGACGGATTCCAAGTCTAGTCCAGAGACACAAACATTGAGCCAGTTTTGCTCCGGCACTTGTTCTTTGCCAGGGAGAATGCCTCCTGGTATTTATTTTTGGTTTTACTTTGTTACGGAACATGAAAGAGACGAAAAGGAATGAGATGGAGACAGAGATGGAGGAGGGAGAAAAAAAGATGTGACAAGCCCACCATTATCCTTCTTGCCCTCCTCCCGCTCTTCTTCCTTTGGACCCAGAGGAAGCGCTCAGCCCCAAGTCATGTATGAAGGCACAGGAGCCGTTTAGCCTCTCAGACAATGTAGACCAACAGGGACCAGAAAGCTGGCAATGGAAGAGTTAACCCTCCAGCCTCTGCGCGTGAATCTTGAGCTATTAATACTCACACTGCTTTATCTGTCAGAGGGAACCGGCTGCTCTGTCAAATGAGACAAGCCCCGTGGATGTGGGTCTCTCTGACAACAGCGCCCAGAAGTTTGCATCTCAGAGTGGCTGCGTGCGCCTTGCCCGGCTTGAGGTTTTCTCCAAGATTACTTGGTTGCACACCCTCCACTACCAAGGAGGTATCCTTCCTTCCTCCCTCCCTCCCTCCCTCTCTCCTTCTTTCTCATTCTCTTCCATGCACATTCATTTCTCTTCACTTGCAAGCTCACACCCACCACTCCACCACTTGCCCTTTTGTCCTGGATTGTGTGGACACACAACAAGGAGGTCAACAGCTACCTTCGAATGATGGGCAGCAAAACTTTCCTCAAGCTTCATTGTCCCAGGATGGCTTGACTCACCCAGTGCGAAGCTTGGACTTGCCCATCTGTCTGTGGATCCTGAAGAGGAAGCCTTTCAGGTGAAGCCAAAGCCTGCGGCCACCACATCTGCCCATGGGGGAGCGCTCGTCTCAATATGAGCTGATGTTTGAAGGACGTGGCCTCACTTGCAGAGCAGCGTCAACTTTGCAAACCCAAACCCACAGGACTTGTCAATCTTCTTGACTGGCTCTTGGCTGAGGATTCTCTGCATCCATTGTGAGAGACCAAAAAGTCAAGCAAGGATCTCCTCTGAAAGGGTTGCAAAGAGATTGCAAAGAAGGAGGAATGAAGAGTCTCATGGAGGTGCTGCCTGGAAGGGACCTCTTCTGCTCGGGATAGTAGGAAATAGTCAAACCCATGAGTGAAGAAGGCAAGCCGTTCTGCTCCAGTTGCACTCGCAAAGGAGCCCATTAAATTCCAGGACGGACAAGTCCTTGCTCCGGACATCCAAACCTCTTCTGTCCCTTCAGTGCTGGAGTTTCCCGGTCCTGTTTGCAGTGTGGGCAGCCCCTTGGCTGGAGAAACTGAGAGTTGGTGCATGCTGGAAGGGGAGGCTGGCAGTTGGAGAGAAGATCAAGGCGTGAGATGCTTGGGACCAATGGGACCATCCTGTGCTCCAAAAGATGCTAGCGGCACCGGGCAGCAGGGCTGGCCCAGTCGGGTGCACCCACTTCCTTGCACTTTGAAGGAGATGGATGCCTTCTGCTTCCCCTGCTTCCAGAAAGAGGAGCTCCAGCCATTGCAACTGAACAGGTGGGTCCGAACCCAGTTCTCCCATTGTGCATGTGAATGCAGATAGTGTTATCACTTTCCCCAAACTTCTGCTTTTGGGAAGATTTGGGCTACAGTTCCCATTTGCCTGTCCAATGGCCAGGCAGTCTGGGCTGGATGGGAGTTCAAATCCCATCCTGCGTTCAAGTTCAGAGAGGTCTTAGGGCTCAAATGTGTTTGTAAACAATGCCCCAAAGTGAGAACCTTAATCCACATCCAAGGTTTGTGGGGCATGAATTGAGATGACTTTTTCTAAATGCCTGGTTGTATAGTTTATTCTCCTTTTTTGGCTCCCAAGCTTTGCAAACATGATCTATAACTAGGGGCCCTTCCACACTGCTCTTATATCCCAGGATCTAATCCCAGATCATCTGTTTATCCCAGGTTATCTGGCAGTGGGGGCTCATATATTCCAGTTCAAAGCAGATAAGCTGGGATCAGATCTTGGGATATATGGCAGTGTGGAAGAACCCTAAGAGTCTGCTTGGGATGGAAAATACTATTGGTAGGAACTGCTTGCTTTTCACTGGTAGCAGTGGCTCTCTGGCATCTCTAACTAGTGATCTTTTCTATCAGCGGTGCTCTGAACTGAATGCTGGGATCTGAACCTGAGATCTTTGGTGTGCAAAGCATGCGCTCTTACTGAACAACAGTTTTTTCTCACAAGACATTCCGGTCCTCATGGTTCTTGCTAAAGGGTTGGCTCAAATGGGGATGTTAGAAGCTGCCTTGTATTGAGGTAAACTATCAACTAGATATTGTCAACTCTTCTAGAGTTTCTGGCTGGGATTTCTCTTTCTCAGCCTGAGACTTTCTGCACACAAAGCAAAGGAGCTCTTCCACAAAGCTATGGCTTCTGACACAAAGGAATTCCTTCACTTTCTGGCACTTTCCAGGGCAGGGAGACATTTCGCCAGCAAGGACCAGGGCTTGTAGAAGTTATTTTTATGGACTATGTTGTTTTTCAACCAGCAAATGCAAAACCTCACACATTTCCAGGCACTGGCAACAAGAATGTAATGGGCCTTCTTGTTGCCATGAATGCTGTTTGCAGTACTAACTAATCCAGAACCATTGAATCAGTTCAGTTGGCATCATTGTTGACTCGCTAGTCAACAACTGATTAAATGCATCTAGTTCAGACAACCGGTAATATTTTGGGTAAAGAGAAGAGCTATGAGTGTGAACAAAGGCTTTTCCCTGCATGCTAACATGGTTCAAATAGTGCATCATCTATCCGAAACATAATTTTTTAATAAAACTGGCAAATATTTTTGTGGATATTTTGTGATAATTTTGTGAATATTTTCATGATTATTTTTGTGAATAGGTTCATGATTATTTTTGCAAATATTTTGTGTATATATTTTATGCGAATATTTTTGTCAATATTTTTTGCAAATATTTTTGTGTATATATTTTATGCGAATATTTTTGTGAATATTTTTTGCAAATATTTTTGTTTATATATTTTTGTGAATATTTTGTGATATTTTTCTGATTATATTTTCATGATTATTTTTGTTAATTTCTTTCATTATTTTTGTGATTATGTTTGTGAATAAGTTCATGATTATTTTTGTGAACTTTTTGGTGTATATATTTTTGTGAATATTTTGTGATATCTTTTCCTCACATGGGCTTTGTTCATACAGTGCAATTAAACAAGTTTGGCACCAGTTTAACGGCCTTGTCTCCATGTTGGGGAGTTTGGTAGGGGATATAGACCTCCCCAACATGTACTTGAATTAAGAAAAGCCAACCCCCAATACTACAGATCCCTGGATTACATAGGAAGTTAAAGTGGTATCAAACTACTATAAAGGCATAGTGTGGCTACATGTATGGAGGTAAAGCATGGAGTGTTGCCAGGCAGGGGATAGGAAACTTCACTCATTCTTTTCTCCCTCTCTCTCTATCAGGGTGTGATTAAAGCACAGAAGCAGATTAGGGGGAAAACATGGCAACCCTTCTCATGCCCAAAGGAGGAAAAACAAATGCTCATGCTACATTGATGCTGTCCACACTTCTCCTGCTAAAAACAGGAGTGTGAACCATTCTTGAAATTCATTTCAAAGAGGTGTTGATGTTTTTTTTTTTTAAAATGCACATAGTCTTCCTTTAGCAATGGGAAAAAGCATGGGACTTGATGGTTGGGGAAAATCAGGGAGAGTCATGGAATGAGGACGAAAAGTAGATCTTGGGTCTGTTGGCGAATTAATGACTAATTTCAGAATTAGGGAATTCTGATTGCTACGAGCATTGCAAATCTTTCTGGGTTTGGGCTTTTTAAAAATGTGCTTAAGCAAGATTATCCAAGCATGATTCTTTAACAAAAAATTACTAATGACCTGTCGGTAAAGCGGCTTTCATGATCCCTCCTTGATGTGCAAATGTATCACATATCTATGGCCTGTGAGTAATTTATTTTTAAGTAGGTCATGCTAGACTGCCCATTCCTGGCCTCAACGCTTCAGTGCTCACACTTGGGGCTGACAGCCTATGTGCTGCCCTGTTGCCAATGTACACAACCATGAACCACAACTTGGGATCTTAGTCAAGTGGATCGAGGGAAGTCTAATAGTCTTACTCTCTTCTGCTTTGATCAGAACTCTTTACCTGGAATAATAACACAATGTCCAGTTCTGAGCAAAACAATTCAAGAAGGAGATGGAGCAGCTGGAAAGTGTCCAAAGAAGGATGATCAAAATGGTCTGAAGGTTTCTAAGCAGAGGCTGGGTGGCTATCTGTTGGGAGGGCTTGGGTTGTGTGTATTCCTACATGGCAGAATGGGATTGTACTGGACGACCTTTGGGGATCTCATCCAATTCTAAGATTCAATGAGTCTGCACTCGATCATGAAAGCTATTGGGGTGAATATAGAAGAGCATCTGTCTCCCTCCCTTATGCGACCTTTTGTGACGGTTCAGTTGCAATGCCTTTCTGCCTTTCTTGTGCAATAAAGTCCAAAGTACAAGAATCCCCATAGGGCTTCCACTGGCAGTCTCACAAACCAATTTCACACCATACAGTTACAACCCTTCGATATCACTTTATACCAAAATTGCAACATCCTACGGCAGTGTTTCTCAACTTTCCTAATTCCGTGACCTCTTAATACAGTTTCTCATGTTGCAGTGACCCCTAACCATAAAATTATTTTTGTTGCTACTCCATAACTGTAACTTTGCTACTGTTACGAATTGTAATGTAAATATTTGATATGCAGGATGTATTTTCATTCACTGGATCAAATTTGGCTCAAATACCTGCTACGCTCAAATTTCAATACAGGTGGGGTTGGAAGGGGGTATGATTTTATCATTTGGGAGTTGTAGTTGATGGGATTTATACTTCACCAATAAGCATTCTGAACTCCACCAGTGATGGAATTGAACCAATCTTGGCACACAGAACTCCCATGACAAACAAAAAATACTGGAAGTGTTTGGTGAGCATTGTCCTTGAGTTTTGGAGCTGTAGTTCACCTTCATCCAGCGAGCACTATGGACTCAAACAATGATAGATCTGAACCAAACTTGGCATGGATGCTCAATATGCCCAAATGTGAACACTGGTGGAGTTGGGGGAAAATAGACCTTGACATTTGGGAACTGTAGTTGCTGGGATTTATAGTTCATATACAGTCAAAGAGCATTCTGAACACTACCAATGATAGAATTGGGCCAAACTTCCCACACAGAACCCCCATGCCTTGAAGGGACTCTCTGATGAGAGCCTCCCTCCAGCCTCACATGCTCTCTCTCACCCCACACATGAGCACCACGCGGCCATGCGCCGAGCACACCTGTTCTCCCCTCCTCGCTTGGAGTCTCAGAAACAGCCCTCCCCTTGGCTGAGAGGCCAGCTGAGAGACCGGCCAATCACAGCAGGAGTAGGGCTTTTGGTGGGAGGATTCGCCATCTGTTTCCAAAGAGGAAGAGAAGGACAGGTGGAGAGATCTTCAGCCTTCTCTGCCAAAGGGGTTCCTAAGACCATCAGAAATATGTGTTTTCTGATGGTCTTTGGTGGCCCCTCTGAAACCCCTCATGACCCCCCCCCCCAGGGATCCCAACCCACAGGTTGAGAAACACTGTCCTACAGAATCCTTTGATCTGTAGTTTGATGATGTAGATGCACTAGTAGACCTCTCTGTCAAGGAATTCTAAACACTCTAAAATTACAAATCTCAGAGATTCCATACAATGGAGTCATGGCAGTCAAACTACTGTAATAACCACCCCCCTCTGGTTTAAAGGGCAGAAATGATTCCTGTATTTGCTGCTACACATAACACTTAACACTGTATATGATGCAAGTGCCATGTCAATATGTGCCTCTTTGGTTCCCTCTCTCCTTTTGGCGATGCATTGACTCGCTATGTCTTGGACATTCCATCTCTGATCATAAGTAAAAGGTTAGTCTCCAGTCTCCGTGTTACAGATTGTGAGCCAGACATTTGTACTCTCCTCCAGTGCATTTAACAGCAGCTCACTAACAGTTGCAGTTGCTAAGGTTCACCTCCAGGCCACAAACGGCTTCAGCCGTTTAAAGGCAGAGGATCAGGCCACTTTCTGATCAGTTGGCAATCTGGACTGAATCCTTCCAGCCAAACAGGCAGGTGCTGATGCAAGGTAAATAACATCAGGCACCAGTCTTTCATGGTGATCTAAATGTGCCTTCAAGTTGACCATCCATTCTGGCAAACCATGATCATCATAGGGTTTTCTTCTAACAGGTCTGGTCAGTTCATTTCTCTGAAATAGAGCCTGCAGCATCTGGCATTACTTGGTGGTCACCCATCCAGAACTGACCCTGCATAGCTTCCAAGAACAAGCGCGATCTGGTACCTTTACAAAGGTTATCTCTGGCAGCATCAACGATACACAGTAATTGCAGAGATGATGCCCAGATTCTGAGATCAAGTGCATCCAAAGCTTTCTCCTTTCAATGAGAAACTTCTTCACCATCTAAAGGCCAAT